TAACATAGCCCACCTGATCGTAATGAATAATATCCTCCAATACCTCCTTTACCCTTGTAGCTAATACTTTCGACAATATTTTATAATCTACATTTAAGAGAGTAATTGGCCTATAGTTTTTCATGTACAAAGGGTCTTTGCCTTCTTTCTCAATTAGTGTAATTACCCCCTGTCTCTGTGAGTTTGATAACATTTTTGTTTCAAAACTTTCATTAAAAGCCTCCACTATTGTTTTCCCTAAAATTGGCCAGAACGTGAAATAAAACTCAGTCGAGAAGCCGTCATTGCCTGGTGATTTGTTCCATTTCATTTCCTTTACTGCCTGATAGCATTCTGCCAGTGTTATTTTGCTTTCACAATACTCTTTATTTTCTTTACTTAATTTGGGTAATTCATTTAAGAACATATTTTCAATATCCTCTGTAATTTCACCATTTTTACATGCATATAAATTCTCGTAAAACTCCCTGATAATCTTCAAAATCCCTTTGCCATCCCTCACAGTTTCCTTATTTTCATTATATATCTCCTTAATCACACTTTTCCTTTTATTTGACTTTAGTAATTGTTCAAAAAACTTTGAATTTTTTTCTCCTTCTTCAGACCATTCTGTCCTTGAACGGACTTTTAACCCTTGACGTGAATAGTCGAAAAGCTTCTCTAATTCCATTTTTTTCATGTCAATTTCATCCTGAATACTTTTATGACAATTAATGTTGATCGTCAATCGATATTCCAGGTCTTTAATTTCTTTTTCCAATTTTTCCATGTGGACTCTTCTGAGTTTTGCTCTTTCACGGGAGAATTTCATTATATATTCTCTTAATTTCAATTTCATAAAATCCCAAAATTTAATTTTGCTCGTTATTTGATTCCGCCAAGTTTCCTCTATTTCAGAAATCTTCTTTTTTACCCCATCTACAAAATCTTTTTCATTACATAGACTACTATTGAACTTCCAATACGATTTCCCATAAACAAAACTATCGACTAAATTGTTAAATTCTATTCTAACTCCAGCATGGTCAGGTGAAATGGAAGGCAATATTTCAGACTTTCTTATCAACTTGTCTACTTTCGAAGAAATGAAGATATAATCCAATCTACTCTGAACTAATGGCTGCTTCTGTCTGAAAGTGAATTCTTTCTTATTAGGATGACGTTTACGCCACACGTCAATTAAATCAAGCTTATCTAGAAAGTCTAATAATGAGTCCCTATATTTGCTTTTCGAAATATTACTTGCACCCATGTAATCCAAATTATGATTCATAATAACATTGAAGTCTCCTCCAATTATCAAGGAATATTCTTGACTAAATACAGAACAAATTATTTTATTTAGATCAGACAGAAAATCACATTGGGCGTTTTCTTTATTCCTTGTGGGAAAGTACACGCTTCCTAATATTAGCTTTTCGCCTTGACATTTGCCTTTAATGATGACGTATCTTCCCCCTTTGTCAATTAAGGTTTTTTCCACCACAAAAGTAATACCTGGTTTAAACATTACAATAACCCCCCTACTGTGGTTACTCCCGTGGCTAAAAAACATTGAGCCTTCCCAATCACCCTTCCAACTGTATTCAATGTCTTCTGTGCTAAAGGTTTCCTGCAAGAATATCATATTTGCCGACATTTTGCACCACTGAAAAATCTTCTTTCTTTTGACTCTATCTCTCAGTCCTCTGACTTTTGAAGTTCACCCACCGTAATTTTTCAAAATAGGTTGCAAGCTCGTCATTGCCTATAATACACATGTGAAACAAGTCTAACTTTGGACTCAGTTTACCAAGCGATTTGAAGATTATAGGTCGAGCACACGAAACATAAAAAGCATGAATTATCATAGATCACTTCTGCCTATTTCGTTTTGTCCATTTCATCCAACCCCCCACCGTAATTTTTCCATTTAGTAAAAGCAAACATTTTGCCGAGTTTAGCAAAAACATGAATATTCATGAACGGTCAGACAATACAGCCTTTTAGTACGTAACGTATAGTGAATGGGAATGTGCGATGATCCGTGTAGGAGGTAGAGGTCAGTGGTTTGTGCTGGCAATGTTCACGCGAGCGAAAATGAGACAATCGGAGCAATATGGTTCAAATAGCATTGTAGAGACGATGAACAACTACGAACGCAAAGTCGTTAGCCATGAGAATATCAATTTCTATCAACCAAGTAGAATCAACTGTTTTTTTCTTTTGTCACCAAATATTGTTCAAATAGCATTGTAGAGACGATGAACAACTACGAACGCAAAGTCGTTAGCCATGAGAATGTCAATTTCTATCTCGTTCTGCTAAATAATCCGAACAATAGAATCAACAAAGTAGAATCAACTGTTAAACGAATTTATCATGAGTTCTGAAATTTCAATTTGTTACTGCACGTCATAATAGTATTAAAGAGCAGCAAATTTCCACTTTCCTAAATAAACCCGGGGACCTCGGTCTTTCGATACACAAAAGAAGTTTACTAAATTTGGCACATGGTTTAATGGTGTTGGCACTCGGTTTAATGGTGAAGGTTTGTTTGAGACTGGAATACCTTTGCATGGTTTCATTAATTAGATTATCTCGGATCAAATTATATACCTTGTGATGTAATTGAGCATCTTACCAGTATTAAATTTCCATTTTCCTAAACAAACCCGGGAAACCTCGGTCTTTCGATACACAAAAGAAGATTACTAAATTTGGCTCATGGTTTAATGGTGTTGACACTCGGTTTAATGGTGTTGGTTTGTTTGAGACTAGCATGCCTTTGCATGGTTTCATTAATGAGATATATCTCGGATCAAATCATATACAAAGTGATGTACTCGAACATTATAGTATTACAATTTTCATTTTGCTAAATAAACCAGTGAAACCTCGGTATTTCGATATCCAAAAGAAGATCACTAAATTTGGGGGCATGGTTTAATGCTGCTGGCACTCGGTTTAATGGTGAAGAATATGTTTGAGACTTATAGCCTTTAGATGGTTTCATTAATGAGATATATATCGAATCAAATCATATCGAGCAACTTACCAGTATTAAAATACATGAAACGCCTATTATTTTACTAAATATTGTGGCTGTCAACTATTTAAGCAACATGCAAGTAATATTTTGTAGGTGGGTTTAGGTAGGGCTAGGTAGGTAGGAACTGCATTGAACTGCTGGGTGCACATGTTTTCTTTTCTTCAGTTTTCTTTTTTCTACAAATCATCTTTTTGAAAGTTCCTTAATATGAAGCCACGAAAGAGTAAACTATTATGAAAAAAAATACCTATTTGTTAGTACAAAACTAGCTAGATTAGGGAGTGTAGTTGCTTTCAATTCTCTGTTCGTACTTGGCTTCACGGAGTAATTCGTCCTTTATAGCGATTCTCTTCATTCCGGAGCAACGTACATGTACTAATACTTACAAATATTTGAAAATGCATATGTTGATTTGCATAAATTATGAATATGCAAATTACGCATTTGAAATTCATCATTTTATTTTCTCATGTATTTTATTTTGTTTTATTTCTAATGTATTTTTTTATTCAAGAATACATCGTTACTTTGAGTAACATATAAGAGCAATTTGATATCAATTAATATCTCCCACTTAGGAAGAAATACATCTAAACCTGTATTCGCATTTCTGCTTGTACACTGTTGCACATATAGTTTGAATATTTTTGTTTTACCCCAATTTATGGAATTATTTTTAAAATAATTTATTCCTAATAGATCTAGATAATAGTATACATTCTCAGATTTTATCGAATAATAATTTGCTCCCCCCCCCCCCCTTGAGCGCCAGGGGAGGGGGCCCATCTAAAAAAAACGGGTAAAATTAACGTGTTTTTACACCTGCCGCCGCCCCACCCCCCTCCCCCTGGATCCGGCACTGTCTGACACATTGAGAGATGGTGTGGAGGCTAGGAGCTCATAAAATACTATGCATGAAACCACATTCGTTCAAATACTTGCACGTTATCTTCGCCATAACTTCACAATCCTCTTAATTACAATATATGCAACATCAGTGCTGTTGCTGTTTTCTACGAAATAGGTAGGTTTTAGGAAATTATGCAGCGCGTCTAAAAATGCATGGAAATACATTTCTGGAGCAGCGTTATTTCCAATTTTTGTTAGTCACGGTATCCTCTGAAAGGTACTGTATCCCTATTTGCAGCCAACATCAAATTATGTGGAACTTTGCAGGAATTATGAATATGTCACGTAATCATGTCCTTTCTGTGAAATGTAAACGTTAACATTGTGCTAGTATTTCAAAGTATGCAAAGAAACCCGTTTACTACTTTCTAGACTTCACTATCAGACAATATTTTGTGACTGACTGACTGACTTCTTCTATTCTTTGGTAATAACATACATGAAATGAGCTGTAAAGGGTACATGAGCATACAACTGTGATTTCATTTTCGTTTAATCTATCGTACAATCTATGTAATGAAAATGTATTGAATCATGGCAAGTTGAAAAACAAATGTATTTCTAAGAATGATTTGTATTGTTTTGGAATCAATTTAAAATAACTATTGAATATATATATATATATATATATATATATATATATATATATAGTATGTGTGTGTGTGCGTCAGAGCGTGTATTATCATACTCCATTTCATGACCTCAAACACGCGGTACAAAACACCATCAAGACCAACATGAGATCGGACGAACAGTTACATTGTCTTTATAATTATGGCCGTCAACCGTCAACCAATTTTCCAGGCAGTTGTTTTTCCTTTGCAAATACATGTATCAAAATGAAAGTTGTAGGACAGAAAGATTATTAATTGTTGAGCCATTTTGTGAAATGGACCATATGTTGAGCTACACGAGTTTCACTGTGTAGGTGAATTTCTACGTTGTTCTTCTTCGTCTCTTCTTTTTTGTTTCTTTCTATTTCTTATAACCCGATTATACTTCGATTTTTTTTTTCTTCATTCATTCAGAGTAATGTACATATTATATTCAGTCGACTTACCGAATCTCTGCAGCAGCCGTTTCATTCACAACTGTTCGGAGAAAGAATCGTAGATCTACCGCTGAAAACTTCTCTGAATTCTTTTCGATCTCTTTCCTCACTTCTCGTACACGCGCTTCGTTTAGTTCCGTTACATTTTGCCAATGCTCAGAGACCTTTCGGAAGATTTCGTCCTTGCTCACAAGCCGATGCAGTGGAGAGATGGATTCTTCTACAAACGTTTTATTGCTGCATGATGTGTTGTTCGTACAATTCAATGAGTTCGAAGGCCTACCCAAGAACTGCCCTTCCAAACCTAAACGAACTTGTCTGTTTGAGCTACAAAGAAACAAGGGGGGAAATGATTTGCATGCTTCTTCAACTCATACAGATTTGAATCATTATGTTGGAGCAATTCACTATAAGAAAAAAACCGAGAATCGTTTTATTACAAAAAGGACAATGTATAAAAGCAAATAAAGAAAATTATGTAGAGAAACGTAACGATCATGTTAAAGGTATTACAAAGTGTTGGTATGGGGTCATGAATTTGGTTTAAATTAACATATTGGAAGCATATGCGTTTCTACAATATTCATTGATCGTTGTCGCGGTTGAAATCGAGTCTAAAGTTATGAAATTATAAATAATAAACTCTTTATGTTGTATAGCTCCCTCTTAAGGTCGAGATATTAATTTAGCTACGAAACAATGTTTAATGACTAAACTCGACCTATTGCCTATTCCCGTTTGGAAATTATATATCACAATAACATATTCTGAGATTTTCATGGTCGCAGCTACCATTGTACGGCCATATAGGCGTCATTTGAAATTTATCAAAATTTACCGGGAGCACCGGTAAATTTGTATATTCAATTTTTCTCGAAAACAGAAGTGTTTTAGGGGCTAATATTTTTAGTGCTTATAATACACCCACAGGGGCATCCAAATATATCAAAATTGTAAATATTCACTATCCACCCAATTTTCAAATTTACCAAAACTTTGTTTTACCTTTAAGCAATGTTCAAAGTTCGATTTTTGGTGTTTGTTGAGTGACTCGAAAAGATTTGCTTTTATAATGTCACCGTATCTCAATACAAATACATTAAACACGTTGTTTGTGCGTAAATGACATCAACCCCCCTCCCCCCCCCCCCCCCCCCAACGCCCCTTTTTTTCTTCTAACAAGAACTGACTTCAAGTTGATATGAGAGTAGGCCTATATGCCACGAAATGTTCAGGTGCAATGTTTACACATATTGTTCACTGCTGCTGTTCACTGCACTCTCTTTGTATCATTTGAAAAATCCTACGTCTTTCAAAAATAATCATAACTTCTTTTTTTTTAAGTTCAAAACCTTGTGAAATTCACGGACACATTAGGAGATACTAGTGAAATATCACCTGTGAAAATTCATTTAAGATGTTTGTATGTTATTTATTCACAGTTTGTAACTGATGCATGTATCTCAAAGAACAAACATGGATCAATTGTTCAAAACTCTCTCCATTTCATTTAAAATATCAAATTTGCATCACTTAAAGGTACTAGGCCTATGTCCCATTTGCAGGCCAAAAATGAAAAGGTTAAATTCCAACGGCATTTGAAAGATAATACTAATTTAGAACTTTCCTAAAAAGGGGGGGCTTGAAAATGTCTTTAAGTGTGACAATAACGACTATTAGTTGTCGAATCGACTTAAGAGCTATGAAGCCAGTAAGTAATAGTCTGATTTTCAGACCATTGTACCGAATGGACGTAAGTTTTATGTTGCGCAAAGATTCAATCAGTTTAATTTTGGCCATTACAAGAAGTGGGTTTTTTTATGTAGACAAATGCTCATGTACCCTTTACATCTGATTGTATGTATTTTATTACCAAAGAAGAAAAAAAGCCAGTCAGACACTCAATAGTGTCGAGAGTGAAGTCTAGCAAGTAAACGGGTTTCCTTGCATAATTTGAATATTAGGACACTGCTAACGTTTAAATTTCGCAGATAGGACATACATGACATATTCATAACTCCTGCAAAGTTCTACAGAATTTGATGTTGGCTGCAAAAGGGACATAATATCTTTAATATGGAAGGCAACAACCCAAAAAGCATTTTGGCGAGTGGACACAAACATAATAGGTCTACTATAGATACTATTGATGTACGTACATTCATGAAACATACATTATTATATATGTTTTTTTGTTTTTATTTTAAAAGAATTAGTAATTGAATAAAGTTGAAACTGTAACAATCATATTCCATGAAAAGAATTACTTTGTACCTTTCGTCAATTGCTTCTTCAATGGCGTGAATGGCGTCGGTACAATCATGAAACTGGCCGAAATGTGTGTACTGGTAGAACATGAATCCGATTGCAACCATTAATACCGCCAACAGAGTTTGCTTTATTCTCACGTGCGAAGCCATGGCATCAAATTCGAGGAGATACTTTCTTCTTCCACGAAAACAATAATCATTTCAAGTAGGTAGGCCTAGTGTTAGCAATATTCAGATATATCACAATTGCTTCGAGAATTGGTAATGCATAACTGCTTTGAGAATTAAAACTGCATATGCTTCTAACGAGTATTGAGTGTTGATATATACAATCGGTGACGCCTTGTGCAAAAGTAACCCGGATGAACTTGATTGATATTAGTAGTGTAGCGCCCACACCCCGAGGGAGGGGGCATACCTATTAAAGGAAGACAAAATAAGAAAGGTGTTGACTGAGATGCGTGGCAAAAACAAAGTCTTTATTACTTAATCTTCTACAATAACAGTCTTTTCTTACAATAACATATATACGATCAAATGGCATAACATTAACAATACTCTTCAAGTATTAAACACAAATAAATCTACCTGTTCGCATACATTGAATTCATTAGCTCTCCGTGTTCTCTTACTATATCACTAAGAACATCATCTGGTTAGTTTCATTACTTTACTATCTCTAAACGAAACTATCCTTACTTCCATGCTTTATGTAAAAGTGCAACTCTTCATCGATCTCATAATCATAACTTGGCTACTAATAAATAACTTAACCCTTATCAAATGTCTATAACATTGCGGTATCAGTCAATCTACTTTAGCTTCTAATCATATAACTCTTCACTTAGCGTCTCTTTCAAGAAATCACATATATAGACCTAATACAAGAATGTTGGCATAATCATCCCTATACTATTGCCTAATAAGCTTTCTACTCTTTACGCTCCAAGACTGAGGATCCCTTGTGCACATAGACCCTTAGAATGTAATTCTACTCTCAGCCTTCACTAATCCCTAAATTCACAAGTTACATGTACTTCTTGTCTCAGGACTTCACATTAATACTGAATAAACTTATAACTCTTCCTTAACTATAGCTCATGTATTTTCCAATAGTCATCTGCATCACTTTGATCTAATACTATCTTTTTCAGCGAGATTACTGAACTTGAAAAGATACATCTTCAACAACTTATATCCTAAACTCCTTACAATATTCACAGAACTGGCAAATAGTCTTAGCCTGCAGTCTGTACTAATTATATAGCTCTAACAAACTTACAACCAATATTACCAATTCCTCTTAGTGTATAATCTCATCTTCACATACAGTTCATATTCTAATTCTAAACAACAACCAATAGTTTTACTAAATACATGTATATTCATTTCATGGTTATATACAAAGCAAAGTGAGAGTGAAAGAGAAAGGATAAACAATAGAGAGAGAGAGAGAGAGAGAGAGAGTAATTCCCAATAACATTTAACCTGAATTATCATTCCTAACAATATATTACAATGAATTTAACACTGTGATTATGCAAGTCTTCAGCTACAATATTTCATCAACCCATCCATCACTAGCTAACTTTTAGACAATTTGACCATGTGTTTCTCAACAAGTGTATTCCCCAACTCAAATCCTTTGTCTTCTCATATAGCAATCTTGCTGACTCTACCAAACTTTCATTCCCGCCTAAGATACCATTTTCCAGCATGGGTCAAAAACAAACACATTCTATCTCTAACACTTCTCAACATAGCATTTGGGTATAGCATATACTCTATCTACACTGTGTGCGTGTACTGCATTGCAGTGGATGGTCAAGCTTGGGGGGAGAGGGGATTAAGAACTCTGATAAGAAGTTGTGTTCACATTGAACGCACTGCCATAACCTAATAACACACTAATATTATACACATGGTGCGTCCACACTCACTCATACCATAATACTGAAAGTTAAAGATAATCTGGACTTGAACCACTCATTTCGCTATCAAAACTGTATCTAACCAAACTATAAAATATAACAATGTGCTTTGGCATAATGCATAGTAAATGGCACATGTCCTAGGCTAAGAATATATATATACACATGAATATCGAGCAAAAGACAAATATACTGACAGTAATAAAGTATATTCTCTTCTCAAAACTTACTTAAAATGTTGTCTAAATCAAACAACATAATCATCAATCTCACACACACGATAATACTTTCTTATCATTTCTACAAGTAATTACTATGTACATTAATGACATTATCTCTTCCCACATGGCATTTCTTCCCACATGGCATTTCTTCCCACATGGCATTTCTTATATTTCCACCCATAGTCCACATGTCATATAATCCAACAGATCATTGGCAAAGATCATTAATATCTCTTTTTACACAGTACTACAAGATATGTGAATAGTGAAGTTATAATAGTTTAGAAATGAACATATTATGAAGAACAAGAATATAACACAATTGAATAATAAGAGATTCTTTCTTACCTATGAAAGGAAGACAAAATAAGAAAGGTGTCGACTAGGATGCATGGCAAAACAAAGTGAGAAGCCACTCCTGGTATCCCAGCTGGTGTGTTTAGGTTAGTTGTGGGTGAGGCCACTCTCGCAGGAGGGGGTACCTAATTAACTAAGAGGAGGGACTATATGGGGGCTAGAAATATACTTGTGTCATACATACATAGTCAAAGATATACAAAAAAATAGGGGGGGGGGTATTCTGTGGGGCTCCACAGTAGTTATAGCAGTGAGTACCGGGACGGCCATAGGTTTTGTACACGAATTTTTTCGTACTTATACTATTTCTAATTGACTCGTGTACATTAACTTTGGAACGTTTACAACACCGTTGTATAGGTTGGATCAATATCTATTGTTCGATCAACTAAATAAAGTATGGTGGCCCTGAAGGGACATCGCGAATAGACTAAATCGTGAAAAATTATGCGATAAAATTCACGATATCGTCAATTTTATCGCATATTTTTCACGAAGAAATTCACGAAATTGACGATATCGTGAACTTTATCGTGAACTTTTCACGATGAAATTGACGATATCGTGAATTTTATCGTGAAAAGTTCACGATATAAAGTTCACGATATCGTCAATTTTATCGTGTACTCTATCGTGTACTCTATCGTGTACTCTCCTGACGGGCGCTTCGTAAACAAAACCAGCCCTAGCTGGGGGAGACAGAGAGAAGGAAAAAAGGGAAAGGGAAAGAGAAGATAAAAGGAAAGAAAGAATAATAAGAAGAAAAGAGGGAAACGGGGGGGGGCGAAGGGCTCTTGCCTCCTCCTCACTCCCCCCCTCCCCGCCAAAAAATAAATCAGAGAGAGAGAGAGAGAAGGGAAAGGGAAAGGGAAAGAGAAGATAAAAGGAAAGAAAGAAGAGGAAGAAGAAGGAAAGAGGAAAACGGGGGAAGGGCGAAGGACTCTTGCCCCCCTCCCCCCCCCCCCCCCGCCAAAAAATAAATCAGAGAGAGAGAGAGAAGGGAAAGGGAAAGGGAAAGAGAAGATAAAAGGAAAGAAAGTGAAGAGGAAGAAGAAGAAAAGAGGGAAACGGGGGCAAAGGGCTTTTGCCTCGTCCCCCCGCCCCCCGCCAAAAAATAAATAAGAGAGAGAGAGAGAGAAGGAAAGGGAAAGAGAAGAAAGAAAGAGAAAAACGAAAAAGAGGGAGAATAGGAAAGAAAGGAAAAGAAAGAAAAGAAAGGAGGCAAGAGCCCTTCGCCCCTGTTTCCCTCTTTTCTTATTGTTTTTCCTCTTCTTTCTTTCCTTTTATCTTCTCTTTCCCTTTCCCTTTCCCTTCTCTCTCTCTCTCTGATTTATTTTTTGGCGGGGGGGAGGGGGGAGGGGGGGGGCAAGAGTCCTTCGCCCTTCCCCCGTTTTCCTCTTTTCTTCTTCTTCCTCTTCTTTCTTTCCTTTTATCTTCTCTTTCCCTTTCCCTTTCCCTTCTCTCTATCTCTCTCTCTCTCTCCTATTTATTTGTTGGCGCGGGAGGGGGGAGGAGGCAAGAGCCCCTCTTTTCTTCTTATTCTTCTTCCTTTCCTTTTTTTATTCTCTTTCCCTTTCCCTTCTCTCTCTCTCTCTCTTATTTATTTTTTGGGCGGGGGGGTGCAAGAGCCCTTCGCCCCCGTTTCCCTCTTTTCTTCTTCTTCTTCCTCTTCTTTCTTTCCTTTTATATTTTCTTTCCCTTTCCCTTCTCTCTCTTATTTATTTTTGGCGGGGGGGGGGGGGGAGGAGGCAAGAGCCCTTCGCCCTTCCCCTGTTTCCCTCTTTTTCCTCTTCTTTCTTTCCCTTTCCCTTCTCTCTCTCTCTCTCTCTCTCTCTTATTTATTTTTTTGGCGGGGGGGGGGAGGTAAGAGCCTTTCGCCCTTCCCCCGTTTCCCTCTTTCCTTCTTCCTCTTCTTTCTTTCCTTTTATATTTTCTTTCCCTTTCCCTTTCCCTTCTCTCTCTCCTTATTTATTTTTTGGCGGGGGGGGGAGTGAGGAGGAGGCAAGAGCCCTTCGCCCCCCCCCCCCCCCCGTTTCCCTCTTTTCTTCTTATTATTCTTTCTTTCCTTTTATCTTCTCTTTCCCTTTCCCTTTTTTCCTTCTCTCTGTCTCCCCCAGCTAGGGCTGGTTTTGTTTACGAAGCGCCCGTCAGGAGAGTACACGATAGAGTACACGATAGAGTACACGATAAAATTGACGATATCGTGAACTTTATATCGTGAACTTTTCACGATAAAATTCACGATATCGTCAATTTCATCGTGAAAAGTTCACGATAAAGTTCACGATATCGTCAATTTCGTGAATTTCTTCGTGTAAAATATGCGATAAAATTGACGATATCGTGAATTTTATCGCATATTTTTCACGATTTAGTCTATTCGCGATGTCCCTTCAGGGCCACCATAATAAAGGAACGTGTATTTACCCATACTGTGATCCTCGCATGGCAACACGGGGAAGCGTATTGCAGTCTATGTGTATAAAAGGTATTGACTTTGTATAGGTCTAGTTTCTTTTGTATTTGAATTACCTCTTTTCAACAATAGAACCGGTGTTTCTTATTGATCGTGTATTGAGTTTATGAACCTCTCAACAGCCTTTCGACAAATGAAGCTCGTTTTATTCCGCCCTGTTCGTACCGTCGAGTTCTTTGGACTTTCACACAACACTTTGATACTTATAGTCAGGGCTCAAATTAATTTTTTGTCCACGGGGGCTCTTCCCCCCCCCCAAAAAAAAAAGAGCCCCCGTGAGCCTTCTCACGGGGGCTCTTTTAGTACTGACGGGGACTCTTTTTTATACAAATATCCATTGAATTGGTACCTATGATACTCCTCAATTATGTGCTATTTCATCATTATCATTCCCATCAACATTTTCCCTCTTACAAATTTACAAGCTACATAGCTGTTACTGGTCTGTGTATATAATATATACGCATACAACACTGACCTTTATGATGTCTTTAACGTGACATATCTTCTTCTCCCCTTGCAAACGAGAAAGAAAACAAGGTCATTAATAGGGATTAAGCGACAAATAATGATTGTGATTCAAATTGATGCGAATATTTGTTTGAATAAGCACTGCTATTCACCCGAATCTTCTTTGTAAAAACAACTTTTACAAATCTCAGCCATGCTTACTGAGTTGAGACGTTCCATTCAATGTAAAACATATTGACTTTGTATAGGTCTAGTTTCTTTTGTATTTGAATTACCTCTTTTCAACAATAGAACCGTTGTTTCTTATTGATCGTGTATTGAGTTTATGAACCTCTCAACAGCCTTTCGACAAATGAAGCTCGTTTTATTCCGCCCTGTTCGTACCGTCGAGTTCTTTGGACTTTCACACAACACTTTGATACTTATAGTTCAGGGTTATGTTTGGACTCTCTCAAAACATCATCAAAATAGATTTGAATACACAGATAACAATTGCAATTTAGTCATGTTACTAGAGAACAGAGATAAAATATACAAAACATTTTTAACTAGAGAAATAGAACCCAAGTCACATTATTGTATTTTTTCATCGGTAAACAAAAAGTTAACACAATTGTACAGCAAACATACACGCCGTAAATCCGTAGTTTAGCGTCGTAACATGCCGTAACGCCGTAACGCCGTATCGTTATATCCACAACGCATTTGACGGATCATTCATCTCTATGCTAAATCACCAAGTTTTCTAGAGCACCCACTCTCTTGTTGAGGTTTAACACTCTATTATTAACTCCGTAACTCTATTT